GCTAAACCGCGGGGCGTGGGCGGGGGGAGCGGTCCCCCCTCGGTCCCTCTGTCTGTCCCTGTGTCTGTGTGTGTGTCCCCCGCGCCTCCCGCACTGCCCAGCCGGTTCTCCCCCCACGCTGAAAGAATTGCCGGCCGGTCGCGGGTGGGTGGCCCCGGGGGTGGGGGGGATGACGGGACACACACGGTTCGGGCTTAAAGGCTGGTGGGTGCGATGTCGGGGCGGCTGCTGTAAAACGAAGCGGGGAGGAGGGGGGGGGTATTACCGAATTTCTTCCAGCGGGGATTTCTTGCCAAGCCCGTACCTGCAGAAGGGATTAAAAGCGAAATCCGGGGGAAATGACGGCGCTCTCCCGTTCCCCTGCCCCTCAGCTGAGACACGCACAGAGCACGCTGCGACAGAGCGTGGAAAAGAGCCGGTTTCGCAGAGTTTTATTCCCGAAGAAGTGCGGGAATAAATCACTTAAAAACCGGGTCAGTGGTGGTGGTGCTCCTTCGGCTTTCGGACAAAGGCAAAGAAACCCTTATAAGGAAAAGGACTGGCACCGTAATCTAATTTATTTCCCTGATCAATTTGGAAGAAAATGATTTTTCCCCCACTACCGCCCTCTTTTTTTTTTTAACTAACCCGGTGTTTGAGGGCCCCCCCCCGCTCCTCTCCCTCGCTACAGAAGGGAAAAGGAGATTTGAGGCGCGCTCGATGCCCCATAGATTTTGTGTTAATTGTGTTTGGGAGTTCTCTAATGAAATCTACCGCTCAAGGAAACGAGGAAATCAGTTTGCTTTTCCACACAAAACATCGAATACGTTTTAAGTAAACTGCTTAATTAAATTTAATTTGCAGTGAGGAAGGAATTGCAGATCCGGAGACGCAATTTGGTGCAAAAGGATCCGATTCCCAGGACGGAAACTTTAGCGCTCGGGTGGGAGCCGGCGCTGGGGTGTCTGTGCACATCGAGGGGCATCAAAGGAGAGCTCCGCCCGTGAGGGGAGGAAATCCCTTAATTATTAAACTTTTAAGCAAATGTACGGTGGGTATCCAGTGGCGAGGCAGTGCCAACACGGAGCCTGATCAACGCTTCTAGCGACGGAGACGTGTAAAATGGGTTTACCTCAATTTGGGGCTTGCTGCTTCTGCTGTTTGTTTTGAAGCAAAAGGTTACGAGCGGTGTTTCGTAAAAGCTGTGAGTAAACTGTGACCTCTAACTCCCCGTATCCTTGCTTTAAGTAAACCAGAGGAAATGAAGAGCCCTGGTATTGTCTGAAAATATCCTCCTGTAGCTAAATATATCGCTCGACTTCTATTGTCCAGCGGCTAATCATTTTACGTAAATACAGCTGTTTACTCTCCAGCATCCTACTGAGCTGTAGGTGTACAGAAACCCGCGTTAATAAAGTCACTTTTTAAGTAAGAACCTAGAAAAACCCGAGAACTTATCTCCGAGATAACCCAAGCCACAAGGGTGAAGGCAGCCGAAGAAACTCGGGCTCGCTGACCGCCCCGCTCCGCTCCCCCTTTTCTGCCGGAGGGGCCGATCCCCGCGGCTGGGCTGGGGGCCGCTTTCTTTTTATTTTATTTTATTTTATTATTTTATTTTTTTTTTTGCGCCGCGGAGTTATTTGCGGGTCCGAGAAGGGGTCGGGACCGGGAGTGGGAGCGCAGAGACCCTGGGCAGCCGCGGTGCGGTCGCGGCCCCCCCCCCCATCCCCATCCTCGTCCCAGTCCCCATCCCCATCCCCGTCCCCCCGCTCCATCGGCCTCCAACTTTCCCGTCTCTCTTCCCAGGAGCAGCGGGAATCGCCCCGGACACGGAGGAAACCTGAGGGTACGCGTCGGGGCCGGGGGGGGCGGTTAAAACCAAGAAAAACTCACAGATAGTAGGAAGGGAGGAAGCGGCGGCTTCTCGGGGGGGTGCTTGGGAGGAGGGGCCCGGCAGATATTTCGGGTTTTGCGGAGAACGCGGTTTCCTGGCAGACAAACTCGCGGGGGACACGCTCCGGGGGAGAGGAAATCCTGCCGCGGGGCCGTGGGAGCCCGGGCGTGGGGGGGGGGCGTGGGGGGGTGAGCGGGGCCAGCGAGCAGGTGAGACCCGTCTTTCCCTCTACCTTCAGGGGGAAAAAAACGGGACTCTGCCATCGGCACCGCGGAAAACTTTTATTTCTGGTCCTCCAGCCGGCCTCACGGCCAAAATCGGGTCTCTCGCTGAATGACCCCTTTCGGCTTCTTTCCGACAGTGATGGGGGCAAGAAGGACGTAGATATTGGCTCTGATCCTACAGAATCTGTAACAAAAAGGCAGCTAATCCGAACGGGATCAGGATTGGCCCCACAACCCCCAATTCTCTTTTAAACATCAGCCTGAACAGCTGCAGCGAGAATACATGGCACATGAAATTTTCTATGAAGTGGAAAAGCTCACCATCGTTCACCGTTACTGGAAAATTTACTAATGTTGAAAAGAGATAACTCAATAGATACAATTATTGCTAAATTTTATACAGACAAATGATTGCATGGTTGACACTGATTTAAAGGGATTGTTTGTTGTTTGTACAAAACGCTAAGTATGCCGGATACTTGAAACAGCTCCTAAAATACCACTCACGCTATAACAATGCGTTTTCTGCACTTAGGGGTAGAGTGAGCATTTATTTAGATGTTAACTGGTCTCTTCCATGCCTGTTTTATAACCGCAATTTTGGTTAACCGTAGCTTCTTAGAAAATGAGCTTGGCTCCTCCTAAATACAGCCACAAAATTCAAGCAGCCTTGTAATAAAAATCAGAAAAAAAAAGTTGGTGCCACCTAACCATGCATTTTAACTCTGTTTGACTTATTTTTATACTGATCCTCAGTTCCACTCTGTGAAAACAAAAATTCGTGCGTTATTTTGTGGTCTACAATGAGATACGTGGGATGGGAAACAAGACCAGGGATCAAACTTCTGCTACACGACCGACCTTTAGAAGGGTTTCTGTGTCCCCCCCTGCGCAGAGCTAACTGCTGAGCCAGCGTAACCCTCGCTTCAACATGTCAGTCCAGGAAAGACGATCGGAAGAATTAGGTTGTTCAGGACGGAAATGTCAACAGAGGCTCAGCACTCTTCAGTTGGCTAACAAAACAGTGGGATGGGAAGAGGGGGATAACCCTGACATGGACGCATTTGGTGGTACTGGCATGAAATCAGAACAGAGGTGCGCGAAAGCCGCGGTTCTGCTCCAGCTGGACAGGCCTGTTGGTCCGAAACTGTACCAGCCCAGGCATCTGGACCATATCCTCCTGCCTTGGAATGAGCCTCGGGCACGCAGGCAGCTCCACCGTTCTCTTCAGAAAGAAATCACCTCTGCAATGCGAACTGAAGAGTGTTTATCAACTTGAATTTCACCTGAACTTGCACTGAGTTGAGACCCTGCAGCAACAGAGCTAATCATTTTCCTCCCACTTGCCAAAGGGACAACACATCCCCAAATACTCTGAAAATGTTTAACGAGACCCTCCACGCAGTTAAGAATGAATCACAACCAATGCCTTCACATTTGGTGAAAGTGCGGAAAACAGCACAGAAACTCGAAATGACAGTAAGAGGGCACGTTAATAGCATCAGAAAGAGGGCTTTACGATCTTTGCATCAGCAAGGGCGATAGGCAGCCTGAGATGTCCGAGGTGACACAAAGCTTAAGAGAAAAGGAGAGACAACGAAGATAGATCCTTCTTTTTCAAGACAAGATAGGAGCGAATAAAGTATTGATACTTTAGTAAGATAAGACTGACATATCTGTCTATACGTAGGTATGCAGTTGCTTGGCACCTTAGACATCTTGCCAACCTAATTGCCTCTGCTTTGCTAAGCTTCAAGGACATCAGCTCTCCAATACATTTCACAGCAGTCAGCTTTCCACTTGTGCTTGGAAAAATGATGGTAACGAACATGGGAAGTTCAAAGGGCAGTTTAACAAATCTCCAAAGTAACAGCACACTGCTAGGATACTGCTGTTAAGGCCTTCCGCTCGCTCCTGCCTCTGCTGGAAAGATGCATTGTTCAGTATTAAAATAAGTCTCCAGGGCATTTATGAATAGGAGTTGGGAAAACGAAGATCTCTTCTGTCATGACATAAGGGAAATGAATACTGCTCAAGGTAGGTAGCAACAAAAAAATGCCTACCTGCCTCCTTGGGGAGGGAAGGGGGAAGAAAAAAACCCCAACACACAACACAAAACCCCAAAACAATCCAAAAATTGTCTAACCAAAATTTGAAGTTGAAACTTCAAACTCTGTACTGAAAGAAAAATTAAAACAGCCAACACAATTTCTAATAGCAATTTTTTAGGTAAATCAATATCCTCATGTAGACACACACCCCCCAAGCTCTTATTCAGTTTAATCGCTATACCTAAACATCAGCCTATGTTCTAACCTGCTTTGCATTAGACGGGTATCAAGTTCTAAGGGAATACAAGAATATCTCAAGTTCTTACCACCAAATGCCAATTTACCCCCCTCCCAAACCGCACGCACCTCTGTTTTCCTAGAAATCAATAGCATCCTTGAAGTCCTACAGTAATTTTAAAAAGAAAGCAAAGCCCAGAATAATGCAAATGTGACATCGACCCGCACCGGGTCTACAAAAAGCTATGGAAGAAACGCAGCATGCTTTAGGACAGTAAAGAGGCAGTGGTTTCCACCAACTGAACATCTGCCCAACAGAAAAATAAATATTAGCTGCTTTTCCTTTTATGAGGGCAGCAGGGAAGGACACACAGGTAGGGAGGTGTGGAACAGCAGAAAGGGCCATCTAATTGTGATTTTGTCCACACAGTAGTCCTAAAGGTGCGACTGAAAATAACCTCTCGGAGCCTAAGCCTACGCAATGTTAAGCGTAAAGAACAAATGTTATCATTTAGCAGCAAATTAGTGAGGTAGAACAAAATGCTAGGTACCACAGCTGCGTGTATGAGAACTTAGCTTCTTGCTTTTTGAAGAGGAAACAAAAATGCATAGGTCTGTTTTGAGTATTGACTTTTAATAGCTTGTTTCTCATAAGGGAACAGGGGATGTTTTCTGTTTTAGAAATACAGGTATCAGTTGAGCTTTAAATACAGCCTGCTCCTGCCAACAGGTCATGTACATGATTTACTTGGCTTCAGTTTTTGCTTTTATGCGTTAAGCAACCTTCAACTTTCTTTTGTAATACAATATATAGACAAATTTAAGTACAGTAATAGTGTAGGTATTTTACTGTCTTCACATTTTTCTTGACATACTGGACAAAGCGATACATATCGGTCGGCCCCCAAGCCCAGGTTTCATACAAAGCATGTTGAACACTGCTTTCAGTGGCACACTTAACTTGCTCCCACATTTAATTTGCCAAATCTACAGAAACAGATCCTTTGGGAATACCCGGAATTATTTCCACCTTTGACCAGTGACATTCAAATGCTCAGGCAACTACCAGTAACTTTCATTTTACGGTTACTAGAGATGTTGCACACTGACAGGAAAAAGAAAGTTTTAGAACTGGACAAGCTATAGTAATCCAGGTTTTGTTAGAAGAATTATATACAAAAGGGGACTTTTATATATAGTTTTCAATCTGTAGTTTCATTTTTCAAAATAAAACCTGTATATATAAATGGATAACATTCAAGATCTGTATATGAGTAACAGTTGCTTTCTGGCTAAAACAATACATTTAGACAGAATTTCACTTTCTGTTTTTCACTTCGAGTATGCTAGCCGGTCCAGTCCTTTGGGAAAAAAGTTCCATTTTTAAATCCTTTAGGATCCATCAGATTCATTATGTGGTAACGACCTTAATTTATACAATATACTATATTATGAGGTGAACTGAAGGGGATTAGATATGGAAGTATTGGTCTGGGTGCAGTAAGCCAAACAGCTGCTTGAACATGATACTACAGCTGAAGTAAGTCTCTGTCAGAATAAAAACCAACATTCATGAAAACAGCAGCAGCCATCAAAAACATTCACAACTGCAGGGAATTTTTACTATGTGTAATTTTGCATTATAAGTAGGAGAAGCCACAATAGTTTAAAGCAAAATTTTAAAAATACCACTATAGTTTTGAATTTAATAATGTGAACTGTCACTCTTAAAGCCGTTTATAGAAGTGTACTAAAAAAATTTACTTAAACATATGAATTTAAGACTTTCACTTTATTCAGCAAATTGGTTTATTTACACAATGGGGAACGCTGGTTGAATGCTGTCAATGTAATAAAAACAAATCTAACAGAGACAATACTGAACTCTCTCTATGTATTCATAGCAGAAGTGACAAACTATTTCCTTACCTGTATCAGGAACATCAAGCGCAACAATGGGACAGTATCATAGGACACTGATTTAACAATAAACCACAGAGGTCCAGTAATACTATGGCAATTTACTCATGTATTTACTGACTTTAAAAAAAAAAAAAATTAAAAGTCAGCAATACCCAGTATAAATTTCTGTCAATTATCAGAGTCAAACTCTGATGCGTAGGTCAGTAAAACCTTATCAGATCATCCACGATTCATAAAGTGACCTGATCTGCTTCAGACCACTAATACGGAAACAAAATTGATGAGAACAGATTACCCTCTAAAAGGCAACAATGATCTGATAAGGGTTTAACTTAATGGAAGTTTAAAAAAAATTAAGAATTGCAGAGCACAGCCCCTATTAGAACAAGCTAACTTTCCAGACTTTCAAAAAAGACAAAAAAAAAAATTTTTTTGAGAGGAAAAAAAAAAAACCAAAAAACACTTCAACATGAAGCTACCATACAAAGTTTCTTTTTGTTTTCCTTTTTTTGTTGGGTTTTTTTGTTTCTTTTTTTTTTTTTCTTTTAAGAGTTCAGAGTTGCAATTTAATCCTGGCTTTTTAGTGAGAAGGACAGTTTTGGCCTAGACTTTCCTTTGCCCAGGATAATTTTTTGCTCTTCCTTTTGCTGACGTTGTCTCTCTTGTTCTAGTTTCATCCTCTCCTCATGAATCTTTCTTTGTTCTTCAACAATTTTCAATTGTTCTTCAGCCTATATATGAAAATGGTAGAATTTAGGCCAGCATATTTTGTAGTCATAAAAGCAATTTACAAGTCCATATTAACTTCCAAACACGTCCAATCCTGCACAGGTATGTAAGCAGTCCTACCTGAGCTAGATGCCATAGCTGGTTGCAGGGAAGCTATTTAGAAAATGGTTATTTGAATTGAGTTTAGAAGAAACACTGAAAACTTCCTACAGCTAATGTATCAAGATCTTGAGTGCTCACATGCAATATTTTTCAGCATTGCCTTGCAAACAACACATTACATTTTAATTAAGGAAGTCAGTGTAGGGAGAGAAATTCCCCTGACACCTGTCATGTGTCAGATGAAGGCACAATATAATGAAGTAACAGACCTGCAAACAGAGGTCTCCCCACTCCAAAACCCACCTAAAAACCCCTCCTAATTCAAAACCATCTTTACTTGATTTGTAACAAGTCAATTCTTACACTGACTTATGGTTCTTACAGCTGTTCCAGTGGTCTTCTAGAGCTGCTTATTTTGTTCATTACGTCAGTTAATACTTTACATTTTCTATCTGTTCCATTTCTACCATACGAAGTTGAGAAAAGGGTAAAACAGAAAGAGATCTAAAGCAGATGTCGTTCAAGCAAACAGTTTTAAGAAGCATCATCTTTACCTGAAAACGGTGTAATTACTTGGGTAACTGAAGCTGATAAGAGTTCAATCAGGATTTAGAAGCAGCTTTGTTTGGCTTATCATTAATTGATTAGAATCGGCTAAATCATAGTGAATGTTCTCATGAGACGGGCACCTGCTTAAATAGGATTGGAGTACCAACACAAGCTAGACTTTCATAAGTTAGACACCTTAAGCTTATGCTGAAAGCCCCTTTCAGCACTTGTACATCACCATTGTACTAGTCTCAAATCCAGTTTGTACTTGTCCTGCCCAACAAAACAGAATTAGTCACTTCTGCTCTAGAAGCTGAACGAGTTTGCAAACTTTCTTCAACCTTCCCTGTGAGATACAGTTAAGAATGTACTTTCCAAATTCTGAACGCAACTACCTTCCTCTAAATTAACTGCTCCTGAACTATTTTTTCAGACTAGTCTTATTGCTAAGGATCTGGTCTCTCATGCTGAAGGGAAGGAGAGCAACAGTACTGAGGTAACCAGCAACAGCCCGAGTTCAACTCTAGAAAGGGTCAATTTGTTTAATTGTGTTGCAAATCAGGCAGAGGGACCTGTATTCCCCTACAGAACGGTTAACTACATCTTCACATACCAGTTTAGCTTGTGCTTCTGCAATTTTTCGGTTATTCTCTTCTAGTATTCGCTCTAGTTCCTCACGCTTTGCACGCTCTTCTTCCTAAAGGGGAGGACAGGGCAAGATGTTAGTAAAGTAGAATACTCATTTCTGCATGTGCACTAATCTTTCTCAGAATTCTTCTGTGAACTGACTTAAAGTGGCAGCTTTACAGCCACCTATTTTGTCTCACAACGGTAAATTGTGCAGCCACTAAAACTGGTTTCTAGTACTCAATTTAAATCACCCCGCCCAGTCCAAACAGCAACCAACTAAACCCTCCCTAATCATAGAATCCTGACAATTTATTACTAGAATTTTAATATCACACAAATCAACAAGGACAACTACAAAAACTGGATAGTATTTACCAAATTAAAAAGTAAAATAGAAAATATAAATAAAGTGAATAGTTTGTCTCACCAATTAAGTATACCTACGTATTCTTTACCTATACTCCTTTAATCAGCATTAAAAGTTGAATATTTACTGTCTTGTCCAGTGTCCTGCAGAGTGTGCTCCTCGGCTGCCATACGCGCCAGCTTCCTCTTTAAAATGATTTGTACTGTTAGCTTGGCAATACCTGCATCAGCAGCTCAACCATTTATAAAGAAACAACATACAAGGAAGGCTGAGCTGAGGAATGCAGATGTTTATGATAAGAAGGAACAAAAATATGTAAATCATTCCTAAGGCAAACAATTAATAAGAAAAATACATTTACTGTTAGTGAAAAATACAAATGGTAATCCATACTTCATGGAGCTATGGGCTTCTTTCATGGGGAGAATGGACTTAACATTCAATATTTTGACAATTTTAAGACAGCTGAAACTGTCATTTGCAGTCTGAACTTGGAATTCAGGAGTCCAGGGAAGGCAAGATCAGGAAATAAAGCCTTGTAATTGTTGTTTTCTTGGTGAATTTTATGGAACTCTGTTATGCAAGTCATAAATATGAAGACTGCGTGAAAGCTTTTGAGGTGTTTCAGTTCACGTAATATATATATCCGAATTATTTTAGTATTTGGAAGATTTAAAGTTAGCCAGAGGTTTGTGTCTGTGTAAGAAAAAAAAGTTAATACGAACAAAGCAAGCATATGAAGAGAAAACTTCTTACTATGACTAGTAACCAGCTACTAGCTAGCACAGTTCACTCCAGGCATGGAAGTTTATTCTGCGTTATAAAGAACTGATGGGACTTCTCCACATCACACTGACAATAGCAAAAATACTTTAAAAAAAAAAAAGTCATCCATCTGAACAAATGAAAACCTCTATACATGAAGCATTTGCTGACTACAGACGTCTACATTCAACTTAAATTCTTTCATAGTAAAGTCTGAATTTGCAAGACAAGTGTAATGTATATTCTTAATATTTGTTGTAACTCAGTGTTCCCGTGGTTTTTTTTGTTTGTTTTTTTTTTTTATTAATTTAAAGATACTATGTGACAGACAAGTCACTTCTAGTATGAAGGGGAAAGCTTCATTGCTACTGTCTTTCCTTTTGTAAGCCAATCAAAACATTAATTTAAAATAAATTGTGCAGGAAGTACAGAGTGAAAAAGGCATTTGAGACTTATGACTATTTAGCACAAACTTCCTTTACAGTTTAAAGTTTGTCTTGAATTTTCTGGATCCTGGAATGATTGGTGCAGGCAGGCGTCAAAGCCTTTAGTAGCAAATTACTGTCTCACAGAAAGACATTTTCAGCTTCTGCTCCAGCTGCTGATTAAAAAAAAAAAAAAACAAAACGGAAAAAAACCCACAAAAACCCAAGTCACATGTTCAGCTTGACTTCAGACAAGGGCAACCTGCTCTTTTATAACTTCTAGGGAAAAAAAAAGTTGTTAGTAGTTATTAAAAATGGATATAATGATTTGGACATAGATCCTTCGTGAAGACGTGGATGGGCTTATGCTCCAAGTCCCAGAATTAGTCCAATGTATGCTCAAGGAAAATGTTCATTTTAAATGAAGAGTAAGAAACCTATTTGTTAAAGACAGGTACTGCAGCTCACTGCTGGACCCTGCTTTTTGCCTGACTGAAGGCAAAAGCCTCTTACAGTCTATGTAAACAAAATGAAACAAATGAAGGATACATAATTACAGATTTTCAATACCCTTCCCCAAAAATGAAAGGACCGCTGATAAATCCTGCAGCCATGGCAAAAGTTTCAAACAATTCTGAAATATGTAGGTCAGTTCCATTAAAAATCAAGTATCCTTGTTCAGGTTTTAGGAGAATAACTGTTTAAGTATCAGTGAGCTCCTCTGAATAGGCTAGAAATTAAGTTTCGCAGCAATGCAAGTTTATATGAGAAGGGAATTAGATTTGCTGTATTCCATCTCTTTCTGAACCGAACAGGAGGCACAAACCGACACTGAAAGTTTTGCCATGGACTGTCTCTACTTTCCAAACGACCGAGCGTTACCTCTCTGGCTTTTTGTGCTGCAAGTTCAGCTTGTCGCTGTCGCTCGAGTTCTTCGAGCAACTGTTTTTCCATGATGCGCTTAGCCTCCTCCACCCTGCGGAGAACCTCTCGCTCAATCTCATCCTTCCTTTTCTCCAACTCTTCTTCTACACGTTTAGCCACAAGCTCTTCCACTCTTCGAGCAGTTTCTTCCTCTATGAGTTTCTCTTCAATTTCTTGTTGACGACTACGAAATGCAAACACAAGGATTACCTTTTTAATCAGTAAGGAATGGTTGCACTGAAACAAACTCTTTCAAATACACAGCATCAGCCACGCTACTGAATCACTTTTAAACAGTGATTTTATACCTCATACACACAGATTGTATACTTAAAGAATGTTCTGCCCTATATTTAAGGAAAGTGAATATTCAGGCAATCAGTGTTCCTGCCACAAGGAACCCATTCAAACTGTACCATATTTAGCATCTCTCCATATCTCAAGAGACGGCAATTAAGAATACTACTTATCATACTTCTTCTTGATCTTTGGGGGGGGGAAGACCCCAGTCAACTTTGGCCATCCTTCACCCTTCAGGAATTTAAATAGTCTCAATTTTAAGCCACATGTACCAATAATGTTTTGCAAAACCTTCTCGCAAAGCCACCACCTCAGACGCATCAAACTTATCTCTAATAACTAAAATAGAAGACAGAAGCAATAAAATTTGTGATTTGAATATTTTAACGAGAATTGCAGGTGTTGTATCTGTAATATAGTTATCCAATCATTTACCTTATCAAATTTCAAATACCTCAGCTCTCCTTAACTTCTTTATTGCAGCACTCTGTTTCTACCATAATTATCCAAAATAAAATATACCAATACCAAGCGCCAAATAAATCCTTGCAAACTTTACAGTTTTCCATGTTCCGAATTTTGGGAGCATTTTCAAATGTCTTCTTGTCTTTATTTTTGTTTAGCAGCAGCATTACCACTTAGCCTGATCACTGTTTTAAGTTCTCATTAAAAAGGATACAAAAAGATTAGGTCAATTTGCAGGTTTATTACCAAATGAAGGAAAAAAAATCTTCCAGGTCTTAATTACTAGTACAATATGGCAATTAGACATCCAAAGACCAATAAAAGTGAATACTGTATAGCTATGGTTCATATAGCACTGTTTATTTAGAATCATTATGGGCTTTGGGGAGAAGGTTGTTCTTTTTAACCTTGAAACTGAACCTTCATTTTAAGTATTCTGTGAAGAACGGAATAATTTTATAAACATATCTTCTGGCCTGTCAGCAACAGAAATACATGATTTAGAATAGCAACTACTGTTATAATATCCTAATATCCTGTCATTTTCATAATGTTTGCATTTTCTTATCTTATTTATATTGAGAGACATAAAAAAGCCTCATTTAAAAAAAAAAGTCACAGGATTTACTAACTTTTAGATTTCCCAGGGTACAATTTGCAAACATGCAATAGGAGATAATGAAGTAAGGATTACTGACCTAGACAAACAAGTGAAATACTGAGGTGAAAGGCTCCCAGTTTCCCCTGTTCATGTATCTTCTTTTCAAAAGTGTACTGAACCAAACAGATAGTCTATCTCCTTCAGTAAGAAGTTCTGGAACCCTCAACTTAAACATTCAGCCCCAGAAGACAAACTTTATTCTTGCGTTCCTCAAGAGATAGCAAACTTATCCTGTGGTGCATTAGGCCAGCATTCACTTTTCCTAAAGCAACACAAAAGATCTTGAGGTGGTCTTTTCAGAAAAACAAAAAAAAAACCTAGACCACCACCACCATCCAGAAAAACGCATCAACCCCATTCTGTTAGCGTGTCGCTGCCAAGCCACTACCTACAGTCCTTTCTGGACAGATTTTCAAACATCCTTTATATACCAAATACCCTTTTATTTTTAAAGGCTTTTCTTCCCTCTTATGAGTATTTATTCAACTGCAAGTACTCTCACCATCCTGTACTGATACAGCTTAGCATACATAAGAGGCTGTTCTACAGAAATAATTTTTCAGAAAGCTCATATTCACATGTTTTATTCAACTATTTTAGCTTTATGTTTAACATCAGGGAAACCTAGAATAAAAGTTAGCTAATTGAATAAAGATAGTACATAGTTACCAAAAAACCCCTGACACTCATGTCTGAAATAAGTTTTCAAATATGCTCAGCAACTGATGATGTACTCAAATTAAGCACTGTGCTCACACACATTTCATTCTTCTCACTCCAACAAGTTCCATTCAAATTTCATTAAACCAAGCAAATATATCTTTTCACATTCATAGGCTATGACATTATTACAAATATATAATAGTATATATAATGGCTTTGAGTTTATCAAGAAAATCAAATTATAAACACAGATATAAATATCAACGATTTATTGTGTAGTTTATACCAACCATTAATTATTTTAACATTGCATGAACTTACAGTATTTTATAAACAGGTGTAAGTTTATCATCCTGACCTACTGAGCCATGACTTGAGAGCAACAGATAAGTCAATAAAGTTTTTTTCATATGCTCCACTTACTTCTTAAAAGACTAATTTTGTATAATCTGCAGAAAAGAAACTGCTTACATTTCAGCAGATTTCTGAGGAAAAAAAAATGTACTTGCAAGGCCTTTACAGAAGACTAGCGTTATAGGAAAAAGCAGAAGTTAGGCTATGTATTAAGATTTGAACAGACACGAGAAGAAGGTCATTTTCAATATATGAACTGTTCACTAGTTAATTCACTCAGCAAGAAAGTACTTCCTTCCTTAACATGAGTATATACTACCATCTATGACATGATTTACAGATGACTTACTCAAATACCATAGTTTTCTACTCTATTGAGTTTTGTTACTTCGCCTTTTTGAAATTTAAAGCGTATTCTAGAAGCATCAAAATTCTATACCCAATCTTTTCCGATATTGTTTCGCCCTCAAAAGTTTACTATTCTGTTGCCAATATCGCTCAAATCCTACACAGACTTCTGGAGTATTTTAAAATTTCAAAGGTAACTCATATAGAAAACGTACTTGCATATGAACTCACACGACTCCAGAAGACTAAGATAAACTATTCACTGTATTCTCAAATTGTTAAGCACATTCCAATTTTTTATTGCAGATATGCATGGAATATTTTTTATTAATTTAGGTACTGATTAAAATTATAAACCACAAAATTAGGATCAGCAACTCAAAAAGCCTTCAACATTTTCACGTGAGTCTGTGTTACTAGCCAAGTTTTTGATGGCATCGCTGTCACATTCCGGTTAGCAAAGGAGATCATGGACAAACAAAAGTGAAAGCGACAACTCGGGGCGACCAAGCCTTCTGAACTAGAATCAGTACTGCATTAGAATAAGATCGCTGAAATAAAACTCAAAGCTCCACCTGAGAATTAACAGAACTACTTGGCTGTAGTGCTATTTGTGGATTCGGTGCTCCAACGAGCAAGGGTAACAGCCAAAGAACAAGAATCACTTTATCACAACTGTTAAAACCATCGTTATCTCTACTGCATAAAGGCCTCCTTCATAACTCGACAGTATTGCTAAACGTCTTAACGCGCACCCAGTGCTCATTAAAAGAGAATTCATCTATCTCTGTAGACTTTATAAATAGCCACATTCCCCACAAGGAAAACTTGAAAAAAGGTTTCAGATGAAACAGGTCACCGGATCTCACCGTCCCGCTCGGCAAGAAAACGGACAGAAAACAAAACGAAACGAAAGAAACTGTTAAGACAACCGTCGCCCAGCACTGCCCCAAACCCCACTCCGAGGAGCTCCGGCCGCCTCCGCTCGACGCAGAACGGGCTCCACGCAGCCAAGGGGAGGGGCCGGGGCCGGGGCCGGGGCCGGGGCACAAAGCCCGCGGGGCGCGGAGGCCTCTGCCGCGGAGCGCGGTTTCCCCGCGGGGGGGGGAGACCGGCGGCGGC